AACAACAACAACAACAACAACAACAACATAATATTCCTAATACCATGACCTATTCTAAGCCCAACCTGCACATCTGGCAAAAAGTAAATAAATAAATATAAAATGAAAATATGATATGCTTACAGGTAAGCATCTTTGTGCAGATTGATTATAATTTCTATGTGACTTATCTGTGTATGATTATATTTTTAACTAAGTGAAAAAATATCACTATCATTAAGTTTTCACCTCAGCAACTTTGATGGACAGAGAGCTGCACGTAGAGTTTTTGAGACTGTAAATCTTTATGGCTGCAGAATATCTTATTTTTTTTCTTGAAGAGTGGCTGGTGCATTTAAACCACTGACCTGATTAGCAGTTGAATGTGCCTCTACCAGGGCTCCTGGAAAACTGTCAGAAGTTTACAGTATAATTATGGCCAGGTAAAAACTATCCCTATAACAGAAAAGTAAGCAAATGGGAAATATATTTATCATCTGTAGGAGAAAGATGTATGAACCTGGGGTAAGGATGAAAGTCACGCAAGTGTCGAGGACTTTCGTTCATAGGGTCGCTATGAGTTGCCTACAACTCAACGGCACTTAACAACAACAACAGCAACATCAAAGAATGTTCTGCTAAGAAAAATCTGGAAAATCAAATATGTTGTCTTCAGATTTTAAATTTATACCTAGAGAAAAAGTTATTACAAAAATAAGCCATGGACTTGACTCTGAAATATTCTGACCATTTAAGCTTACTGGAAATCAATCAGAAAAATAGATATGCAGAATGCACTATTAATAACTTCTAATTTAAAATTAATTAGCATCATGCTTGATTAAAAATGAGTTATGAATTTTGCTGAGGGACAGCTTATCCAAATTCAGACTTAGTCTTGAGAGTTTGTATTTGTTTTGTTGTTTTTAAATGACACAAGTTAAACTATGTCATCTTGCAAAAGAAGTTTAGTGAGCTAGAGCAAATTAAAAATTAATATCATCACTTAGTTAAGAACAGATTTTGAACATGTTATTGGTGAGTTTGCTTTCATTAAAGTTAAGACTTGAAACCTTTACTGATGAAGATAAAACACTATAGTCTTCAAATAGATTAAGTCTTAACACAAGGAAACAAAACCCTCACTACTAGACCAAAAGGTAGCCTCATGATTAGACAAATTATTGAAGTTGCCAAGGATTTTATTTTACCTGGATCCACAGTCAACACCCATGGAAGCATCAGTCAAGAAATCAATGGCTGCATTACATTACCAAAATCAACTCTCATCGATCTTTTCAAAGGTGCTGTGGAGCAAGGATGACAGTGTAAAGACTAAGGAGTGGCAGACCCAAGCCATAGAGTTTTCAATTGCTTCATATGCATCTGGAAGTTGGACCATGAATAAGAAAGATCAAAGAATTGTGCTGTTGGTGTAGAGTACTGAACACCCTTTCGATTGCCAAAAGAACAAAAATATCTTGGAGGAAGTATAAGCAGAGTG